GACACACACATACATGTACATGAACGCCTCTGAAAACATAACCTTCTTGGTGAAGGTAATGAACCACTAAACCACAACAATCAGCATCCCTACTTAGGTGTCATACTCAGCCACAACCTCAAGTGGAAGGCACACATCAATGACATTACCGCGAAAGCTAACAGCACTTTGGGTTTCGTCAGACGCAAAATAATAATAAGGGGGGCAAGTAAACAGGTAAGAGCCACAGCCTACACATCACTAATACGACCCAAACTTGAATATGCTTCAACACTATGGGAACACAAACAGATACATGCCAAAACCAACAGCCTAATTGATAAAGCTAGAGGCAGTTCAAAAACGAGCTGCAAGGTTTACGTCCGGAAAGTACAAACACTCAACCAGTAGCCGGGCAGGTGTAGTTTGTAGGGCTCGTCCATATAGAAGTCTGCCGGTATGCCGGAATTGACGGAACGCCCTTGAGGGAAGCTGAGGTCGAGGACGATACGTCTCTGCGAGGAGTCCTTCTTGGGAACAGTCTGTAACGGAGACACCATAAGATTCGTAGACAGGGGGTTTGATGCGAAGGGACCGCAGGTTGAGCCGAAGGACAACTCCGTCTGGATGTACGCTTCTACGTGCTCTGTAAAAGCCACCGCCGAGTTGTGATTCTTGGAGACCGGCTCTGGCGATACCGTGCGGTTGTAGTTTACTGGCCATCTGTAGGCGAGGAAGTCGCATATGACGTTGTCGTGGTAATAAGCCAGCGCCGTGCGACACGCCGAAATGTTCAGACTGGACGGAACTGGCAGCCTGCAGTGTTGGAAGTTGTACTGCCCTGATGCCTTGACCTGTTCGTGGATAGAGATGTGGAAGTCCGGGCTCGGGCGACACATGCCAAGACCAGACACAATCTCGGAGACGTGTTGGTGTCCCAGGGGGAAGTGGGGGGAAGTGAGGGGCGAGGAGTCGGGTGACTGTGTATGCCAGGCATGCTGAGGCGTGCCGACAGGCGCTTCTGATGTCGCCGAGGCAGTGCGCGCGGGGTGATTCACCGGGGAAGGCGTTGTCTGCTGTGGTGAAGTCAAGACCTCCGTCGTGACGCTCGGAACATGCTGAGAAGGCTGTGTTGCCACTTGCCGCCCAGCAGTCCTACCCTGGGGACGCGAGACGTCATGAGGGACTGTGTCGGCGGGAATGTGCTGGGGCTGGGTCAGGGCAGAGTGGCCGGAGTCGTCATCGTGACCCGTAACCGGGGGAATGGAGAGGGTAACAAACGAAGAGTTCCTTAAACCGTGGGCCAGTTCTCTTGAAACGCGTGAAGTGGTGAGTAACAACTTGCTTGTGCTGGAGGAATCTGGAACATGCAAATCAGTCATGTCTGTCAGTGTGCGCGCAGGGTCATGGTTGAACTGGTCTAGTCATGCCTGGTTGGCTTTCTTAGCCAGGTATTCATCCCTCATCGCTTTGTTGTTGTAGTCGCAGTCCTTTGATGGATGGTTCGCGGATACATCCGGACGGGATCTCAAGCATTGCTTGCACTTGTGTACCAGAAGGCCGTACTGCCCAGTGTGATCGCCTGAGAAAGTGCAGGAACCTGTCTGGTACTTGGCACATGGTGTGTTTGCTGATGAAGAGTTGTCTCTCCTTGTGCTGCTCTGTGTGGTGGTCAGCTGGGTTTGTGGGGGAGGACGCCTGAGGAACTGCTCCTTCAAAGCCTTCAGCTCTGAATCTATGTCAGGAGATTCCAGGTCAAACAGCAGCTTCTCTGCGTGAGTCAGCATCACTTTGTAGAAGCTTCTGATGCCTTCATATGTGTATGTGATTACTTCATTCATAAAGTTCTTCAGAATCTGACCTCTGTTTGCTCTTTCAATGCATGAAGCATCAGACTCGAACACTATTGCCAACTCCCCTGCAACTAGCTGGTCTAGGGTAATGTTCTCGGGGGTTACTGGAGTGGCACTGTTGAATACGAATTCATGTGGCCAGATGACCTCCCTCTTCACTTTGTCATGTAGTTTACGAGTCAGACCACTAAAGGAGTTGTTTCTTCTTACCTGCCCCATAGTCCCCCTGTCCGGTGAAGTCGTCGTTTTCAGCCGGGAACCTGACCTGTTGATGAATCCCGCTGGTGGCTGTGGGGAGGGGGGCATGGCTGCCGCTGCCGAGTGATTCCAGTGCCTTCAGCGCTCGCACTACTCTCCAAGCAGAGGTAGGGTCGCTCGGTATTTTGGCAGTATTTTCGCGTTTTTAATACGTCTTTCTACTTTTACGGGTTTTTTTTGGTAAAAAAAACCTGCCAAAAAAAATACTGCCAAAATACCGAGCGACCCTACCTCTGCTTGGAGAGTAGTGCGAGCGCTGAAGGCACTGGATTAATTATTGACCTCATCACCCCATAACTAGGACTTTATTTGCATAATTAATGAGGGGATTCTATAATTACTGTGTTTTACATTATCGTACTTTCATACATCTAATGTATGTAACCTATGGCAGATGGAACATCAACAGATACTAATTATGTAAATGATGATCTAATTCGCATAATTAATTAAAATAATTTAAAAAAAAAAACCCGTAAAAGTAGAAAGACGTATTGAAAACGCGAAAATACTGCCAAAATACCGAGCGACCCTACCTCTGCTTGGAGAGTACGCTCGCACTTCTTTCAATGTTGGGTAGGCTCTTGAGTAATTGCCCCTGCTCAGCTGCTTATAGTAGCTGTCCGCTGGCCTGGGACGCGCACTCGGTGTCGAGCCGGATCGCAGTCCGTCCAGGATTCTGTGGGTCTGTTCGCTTTATTCACCCAAGTCTCGCAGGTCTCGCGAGAACTTCTGCGTGAACCGGCGAGATGAGCTGTCGGGGGGAGGGGGGTGTTCGATCTTCAAACCTCCGGTGGTGCCCTGGTCTCCTTGTAGGAAAGCTAGGCCAAGTTTTAGCTCTTCAATTTCTCTTGTGACGCAAGGGTACCGAAGTAACGGGTTCCTCACTGGCCGCCCAGTGCGGAACTCACAGGGAAAGTGGCGTCGACACTCGGGGCCCTGTGCGGAAGAAAGCTCCGCACTGGAATTCTAGTGCAGAAACAGCTTTGTTCCAGTGCTGAGACACCGTCAGGACTGGAATTCCAGAGCTGAATCTTGACTCGGCACTCGTTTTCCGGTGCTAACTTCCACTCAGCACTCGTTTGCCAGAGCTCGGAGGCCGTTCAGCACTGGATAGCCAACTACTTTCATACATGTAATTCATGTAACCTATGGCAGGCAGAACATCAACAGATACTAATTATGCAAATGATGACCTAATTTGCATAATTTATGCAAAAATTCTATGATTTCTTAATGGTGAATACTAGTAATAGGAATGCCATACTTGGGACATCTGTAAGTTAATCAAAAGTTAACATACATCACGATGCATATATCATGTTAATGCGGAGGTCATTTGCATAATCAAAGAAAAAATTACATTTACATATCAAGCCCATATTTCATGGAGGTATGAGATCTCGGAACTCTTTTTTTTTACCACCACCACCGGTCACGCTGGAGATTTGCATATCAATTAATAGTTTGTGCTTATAAACCTGCATTTCTCCTCTGGTCTCTCAGTCACTGGCGAAAGCTAGTGGATAGCAGCTGAACTGTTTCCAAAATCATATCCAGTTGCTTGTCAATGAGTAAATGCTTTTTGGCGTATCTTCTTACCTGGATGTCTAACCTTCATCAACGTTCCTTACAGTTTGTCAATCATGCAATGTGTCAGGTGGTCTTCGTTCTATCACCTTGTGAAGGCCTCCCCCAGGGCAGCGTACTTGCACCCATGACATCTACACTAATGATGAACCAGTTCACCCTGACACAAGGAGGTTCCTGTTTGCTGATGACCTCAGCATCAGGGCACAGGGAAGGACCTTTAAAGAGGTAGAGACAACCCTCAGTGAAGCCCTTACAACCCTAACCCTGTACTACGCTGCGAACCATCTACGAGCCAACCCCGACAAAACACAAGTGAGTGTCTTCCATCTTAAAAACAGGGATGCAGGACGGCTACTGAGGATTTGGCAGGGTAAGTGTCTGACCAGTAACCAATAGGCCTCAGTGAGTTTTCCTCAGCATCACCCAGACAGGACCCTCCCATACAAGAACCACATCTTGAATAGCTGAAAGTGGGTGCCAGGAATAACATCCTCAGGAAGCTTTCAAACACCAAGTTGGGTGCAGATGCAAGTACTTTACGAGCTACAGCCCTTGGACTGTGTTTCTCTACTGCAGAATACGCAGCCCCAGTGTGGTGTAGAAGCTGGACTCAACCTTGAACTCTGCCTGTAGAGCCGTCTCTGGATTCCTACGCCCCACCAGAGTCGACAACCTCTACCTGCTGTGCGGAATTGCACCACCTCAGATAAGAAGAACGGTGGCGGCACAGCGAGAGAAGCTGAAACAAGAGACAGACCCACACCATGTACTCTACCAACATGCTCCTGCACCAATGAGACTCAAATCGAGACATACTTAGCTTCCTGCACTCAGTTGAGCCACTCAGCGGCAGTGCAGAGTCACAGAGAATGACCATGTGGTCCAACCATCTCCAAGAAGCCCCACATAAGCTAACCTTCACCCCACAGGAATCCCTTCCTCCACGAGCGGAGGAGGCATGGCCAACCTGGGCATGTCTCAATCGCCTAAGAACAGGCACAGGAATTTGATGCAGGGCACTTGTTGGGCCTTGTCCCAGTCGGACAAACTGCATGTGACTGTGGGCAGGACCAGACCATGAGGTCTGACCCCTAGAGGAAGGGCAATTGTGCTGAGTTTTGGAGAGGGAAGCTGTAGCAGTATAAATAGTGACTCGAGAAGAAAAAGACCTTGTGAAAGTTTTTTTTTTGACTTGGTTCTATTGTTGAGAATGAAAGCAGCCATTAACTTATACAATCATGTAATTGATAAAAGATAATCAATAATTCAATACTACTAACTAATAATACAATTATGTTGTTTTTTGTTAATACACAGGGGGAAACATCGTTGCTGTTCTCCATTCACATAACTGCCGGGAATTTGCAAATCAGCTGGAACATAATCTTTCAATGTGCCTCAAAAAGTATGCATCTGTCCCAAAAACAATTGAACTTCCTCAAATGACACAAAAGATGTCTGCAGATGAACTTGTACATAACTTTATTGTGCAAATTGCGGTGCTTTTAATCAGTAGACAACTACTTACCGACAAGTCCCAATTTGAAGACTTTGTGGAAACACTAATATTGAGGAACAACACGCCTCAATACGTTATTTGGCTTGATGATAAAGATGACTTTCGTGGGTTTGGTACATTAGTTAGTCATCAGTACCCAACCCTGGAGGCACCGCGGCTGGCTCGGTTGGTCCAGCTGAGCAGCAATGAAGAGGCTGACATTGCACAAGAGGCTGAGACCATTGCACAAGACATAACAACTGTGATTTGCAACCTTACTGGTGGGTGCATACAGACAATGAACTTTAGACATAATGATATCATTAACTTAATTACAGTGACTGTTTAAATTACAAAATGTGCCCTTTTTAACTAGTTACTCATGCGGTAAGTTATCCTCATTTTGTATTTTATTTCAGTACACATTAATAGGAACATTTGATTGCTTTGAATTTTCACCTGTCATATACTAAAACGTTCCAGTTTTTTGTCTAAGAGACAGCTACAGTGTTTCTATATCAGAATCTCCACTTTACAGGTGAGCTGAGTATGGCATGCTACAAATCCTTAGAGAACACTCAACAGTTCCTGGCTGACAACATGGACCTCCATCATGTACTGAAACGTCTGGAACAGGACAACCAACTGAGTCCAGATGATGTCCAAAACTTTAAGGTGAGCTACATTTTGAAAAGTGTAACTACTGACAAATGTACTTAGTACTGAGTCGGACATGCTTCACGGAAATTTCCCAGAGTTCTTAAAATAAAATGTTTTTGGTGACATCGTAGAAGCATATTTAGTTTGATTATTGTGCTGAACTGTGGGTGAGTATAAAAAGTGTGACATAAATCACTGTCAGTGCTGTTCGATCTCATATGGGAGTTCTTAACCTTTACTGAATGGTAAGGTCTCACACCATTCTGTTGCCTTGTGGGATACGAGACACAATCTGCCTCCCGCAGGAGTCCTGCAAGTCATGCAACATCCGGCAAACAAACCTGTTCTGCATAATGCCACAACAGGAACTCCCCTGAAATCTCACAAAGACCCTGATGCATATCACAATGTCTGTACTGTATTATTTATTCCCTTTATTCACTGACCACCTAATAGGAGAAACCTGCAAGTCTGATAGACTGGCTGAAAGACAGCAAGCGACAGCAGGACTTGTATGACTTTTTAGGGTGCATTCTTAAGGAGGCAGGTCAAGACTTCTTGGTTGAAGAGATAGAAGACAGTGAAAGAAATGAGGAGGAGGCCATCAAGGGTGTGGATCAACCTGTTCAGGTGGAGAAGGCAGGGCAAATTGGAACTGGTAAGAAAAGAGTTTGACAGGCAGATGTAGCAGCCCAAGGCATGTATTTTTGACCACTGTAAAATTTGCTAGTTGCATAGTTCTGACAATATTTGATTGCTCATTATATGCTAACACTGATAGTGAATAAATTCAAATCAGTCTAATACTGGGCAAAATGAAATTAATTCAGTAGGCAGACAGGGCAATTTCAACTATTTAGATCTATTTTGTATTGTAATGGACTTTAATTTGCCTCATTATTTTTCAAATAGAATTGCCAGAGAAGCATCCAGGAAAACATTTCAAACTAGAAGTTCCTACAGCAGCAATGCAAAAAGTTGTTCTTCTTGGAGAGGCTGGGGCAGGGAAGTCCTGGCTTGTCCTGGCTATCACAAAGGGTGAAGCCCAAGTTGAGCACAAGGCCAAGGAAACAACAGGTGTGGACCTAACTAGTTATCATGACACAAAACATGGTGTGATGTACGAGCTGTACGACTTTGGGGGTGATGAGATCTACCACATCACACATCAGTTCCTCTTCACACCACAGACATTGTATCTCTTAAATGTTGACCTGCATGACTACATCTCAGGAAAGTTCCCGCAGTCTCTCGGAACTTGGCTCACATCTGTCACAAGCCGTGTGGTCAACCCATCCATCACAGTTGTGGGAACAAAAATAGACCTGCTTCCAAACCAAGATATGAAAGAAAGTCTGTGCCATCAGATCAAGAAAGACATTGAAGCTACTGTAAATGCTGCTGCACTAGACAACTTGACAAGAGAAATTCTAAGCTGTGAAGATGCTCTTAAAGCTCTTGACAATGAGTCTGATGTTTCCGAACATTTCTATGGGCTTACCAAAGAAGACATCATTGCAAAAAAGATGTCAATCGAGAAAATTATCGAACAAAGATCTCGATACCTGGATTATGTGCAGGTCCTTCCAGTGAGCAGCAAAACATTTGAAGGGGTGGAAGATCTGTGTACTAGGATGGCTGAGATGACACTTAACATACAAGCAGAGCAAAGATGCAAACATTCCTGGATCAGTTTCAGAGAGGCAATAAGAAGAGATAAAGAGTCATGCCTACACATGAAGGAATGCCAGAAGATTGGCTCAGCTGCAGGGATGACGGAGTCAGACATCCTGAACGCACTCAGCTATCTCCACGTGACTGGGCAGATCCTGTTCTACAACGACATCAGGGGGATGGAGGATATCATTTTCCCATACCCAGGTATCGTCCTTGGACTCTTTAAGCAGATCTTTGAAAATGACAAGAAAGAACAGCTACACAAATACTCATTAGGGATGACTGAGAGGAAAGCAAACAGTCATTTGAAGGTCCTGCTTGAGGACAAGACTGCAATCTTTAACAAGATGCTGCCATTGCTGAAGCACTTTGGCTTGTATCACTCAGGGTTGTTTACTCCTGTTCTGCCAACAGCAAAGCCCGAGGAGGAGCTGCAATCTGATCCAGGCAAACTACAACCAGGATATGGCAGTATCTCCATATACATGGAGTATTTGCAGAATGCACCTGTTGGTTTTCATGAAGCCATAGTCTCACGTCTTCTATCAATACCTCAGACCAAGTATGATCTCCTCAGGAAAGATGCAGGTCGCCTTTATCACTGCCAAACTGCCGCAAACTTTAAGGACTCCAAAACATATCAATGGAAGATTCAGACACTCCATATGCATACATTTGGAGCCAGAATTGAGCAGGTAGAAATGTCTTATTCGTGCACTCCCATGGTGGACAGAATACAAGTATGTGGGAAGTTAAGGAGTGCCTTTGGCTTAGTGAAAGAGATCAGTGAAGCAGTCATGCAAGTGTGCCAAGATTTGTTCCCCATGCTGTACATGAAAGGCACCATCAAATGTGGAGGAGCATTCAACTCCGTTACCTTAGAAGCTACAAGAAGACACAGAGCGACTGAGCTGATGAGGCTATCCCAGGGGAAATCTTTGGAGAACATAAAGCATGACGCGCACAAGCATTACTTGGGTAAGTCCCATGCACTACAATAAGAGTTACTATCTTAGCCAAATTAGCTGGCAAGGATTAATAATATGTTCCTCCTCATCATTATTATGGTCAATCTGTTACTGGTTCACTGTGCACTGAAACTACAGTTACTGTAACTGTTACTGTTCACTGTGCACTCAAACTAGGTATTATACTGGTTCACTGCACTGAAGCTAGGTGTTACTGGTTCACTGTGCACTCAAACTAGGTATTACTGGTTCACTGTGCACTCACTGTGCTAGGTGTTACAGCTGGTTCACTGTGTACTGAAGCTAGGTGTTACTGGTTCACTGTGCACTCAAGCTAGGGCCACACCAATCTAATTTCTTGGTTAACGAATTTTTCTAGAATAATAATGGAGAGGGCGGGGGAAAAATATGAGCATTTTGCAGTTGATTCTGAATTTTTTTTGCAAATGAGAAAAAAAAATTAGGCGGGCAAATCCGTTAAACCAAGAAATTAAATTGGTCTGGCCTAGGTGTTACTGGTTCACTGTGCACTGAAGGTATGTGTAGGTGTTACGCTAGGCTCACTAGGTGTTACTGTTACTGCATTGAAGATGACAGACAATCATCAAAATGTCAGCTCTTGTTAAATCAAACAAGTGGTTGTGAACAAAGAACTTTACTTGTAAGTAGATTACATTTTTTTACCATTCTCTCCATGAACAGGGAAATGATATTTGACTTTCCAACACTACTTTGTTTCAGATAATCAGTTGTACAAGATTAGCAGGGATCTTGGAAAGGAGTGGAAGCGCCTGGGACGTGAGCTTGGGTTGGAGCAGGAGACTTTGGGCAGGATACAGGAAGACTACAGGAGAAGTGAGCAGGATACGCAACGGGCATTCCAGGTGCTGAAATTGTGGTACACCAAGAGCAACAAAGGGCCACTACAGTTCCTGCCACAACTGGAGGAAGCACTTAACGCCATGAGGAAAAGAAGTCAGGCAGATGATATTGGTGACCTTAATGAAGTAAGTGTAAAATACTTAAGAATCTATATTACATGTAATATACAATTAAAATCAAGATGACAAATTTATTTAAACATAATCTAGTGAAATGAAGACTAGGTCTGCAGTTACTGCAGTTTTGGAAATAACATTATCAACCCTTTGAAGACAATATTATACTGTATTGCCTTCAAAGGGTATGTTATTTTCCAAACTGAATTTGAAAATAATTTCATGCAGGAAAATTAAATTCATCAGACTTAATTGGTAATCCGTGGTATTATCAGAGTTCATGTTGATGTTTGTTATACATGTTACATTGTATTGTATATTTTGTATGGTAATGTTATCCTCCATCCCAAAAGATATTATCATTATAGTCAGTAGCCATCGATCAATCAGAAGGCTCCATTTCTCACGGGATATCAGGTCATAACCTAAAAAGTGGGCTGTTATTCAGATAACCACCCACTTTTTGGATCGTACCATTATACGGGGGACAGGACACTAACAGTAGTGTTACATGTAAGACTTACAGTATTGTAATTTATTATTATTTTAAATACAGCACAATTAAAAAACTTTGAACAAAAAAAATACAAATTTTTAAACATAAATTTTGACACCCCCACTAAAAGTGGTACTGTTCCAATGTCATGTGGTCTCCGCAGATTTACCTAGTAGATGATCTGCTTTTCTGTCCACACAATCTTGTTTCATGTGACAGTTTTTTCTTACAAAGTATTTTAAATCTTTCCTCAGAAATACCAGGAAAAAACTGTGGTTAATCCCGAAACAGGTGACATGAAATGGTGAGTTCATTGTATTCAATTTTTATGTTACAAAACAAAGATTGCGATCTCTTAATTTTTGGATATGCAAGATGTGTATTAACTTAATGACAATTGAGCTGTGATTTACATTGTATACTCATTTCTCAAGACTCAAGTCATATCATCTTGAAGGTACAGGGCACAGTAAAGTACTATTGAAAGAGAGTATTCCCAACTGGCATGTTAAAGATTCAGGAATTTTTATATCTATTTTAATAAATTTTAGTAAAAAGACCAGAGGTCTATTGCTTATACAATGTAGTTCCTTTGCATGTTAATATGTTTTAATGTGTTTGGCAATTGCAATTCAAGCATGGACATTTTGCAATTACAGGTCTGTCCATCTGACAGGTAATGAAGGGATATACCTGTGCAAAAGGACCAACCTGGGGGTGGTGACGCCCTGCAAACTGCATGTGTCATATTGGTGGGAGAACTGGTCTGCACATGAATGGAAGGAGGAGGATAAGGAGAAGTGGAGGCCAGTGGGTCCAATGTTCTCCATCAAGTGTGAGGAGATGGAGGGGCCAGTGGACATCCTACTGCCACACGTGCTACACCTTTCAGAGAATGAAGGTAATCATTGACGATGGTAATCTTATTTTTTCATAACAGATCACAGATTTGAACTGACAGATAAAAATATGAGCAGGTAGGCAGGATAACAACACACACACATACATGTATTCGTATGAGACAAATAGAATGACATTGTTCATTTAGGTTTCAAGATGTACCAGGATGAACATTGTATAATGTTAAGAGATGGACCATTCTGCAGTAAGGTCATAGATGGCCAATCTCTGTCATCATGCTTTGTTGTAGCAGTAGTTTTTTGCATTGTTCTGTTGATGTCTGTATTGAAAACACAACAAGTAACTAGACATGACCTTTATTGCATCCAGCATCGGCTATCAACACAGAGGACTTCAAGGTTGTCCACATAGTGGAAGGGACAGCAGAACTCCTCTCCACAACAGAAGTGACCACCACCCATGTCATCACCCGGTTCAAAAAGGGCAGTGTCTTTGGCCCCATTATGAGAAGTGACCATGGGAAGGACTATCCCACCAATGGTCTGTTTGTGGTGTTTGCACCAGTAAACCTCAGTCCTAAATGCCAGATCCATGTCTACATGATGTCTAATGCAGTTCATATTGTGGAGGTAATTCATATCTCAATATAAACATTAATTGGGAACCATAAATTCCAGTATGCACTTTCAAAAAAATGTCTCAGGCAATTGCCAAAGTTGGGGTTATTTTGGACAGACACATGCATACATTGTACAATCAGCAAATGCATAAAAAGCCTGCTGCAGTATCGTAGAAAGAAGCCAGGTGGATCATTTTTTTTAAACTTGACCTTTGTTTCAACAAATTATACATATTAACATACCAAATGTTGATAAGATCCATCTATAACTACTCAATTCATGATGTTGACCTACATACAGACCCACACTACAGCTACTCCACCAAGCCCAAACCGCAAACATACCCTTCTGACAAAGGCAATTATACATGTACCTGATTCAATTGATTCAAGTTTCCAATTTCAACAAAATTAGTTATATACAGTCTCATGACTTAAAAAATTGTATTTGCGGAATCTTCTTGCATTGTAGTACCTAGCAACAATAGAAGAGAAGGATGGGTACAAGAAGTGGGACCAGGAGGCATATATGCTACAGACAGGAAAGAACTATACAATGGATGTCATACTGGGGGAAAATGGCAATGTTCCAATACGTGCAGATCCACAGGAGGTAACACTGATTTTGTCAGTACTTATATATACCTACAATCGTAATATGAAAATGGTTTTCAAAGTGCCTTCAACTAATTACATGATTAAGGAGAATTCATTATTGCAGTCTACAACTATGCAATAAAAAAGGAAGTGTTTAAAAAAAATAAGGAACTCTATAGGTTAGTTAATTTTGCATAAAGCTAGAGGTTCACTTAATGGTTCCTTTTGTCTCTTGAAATAGAATTGAAAATTTCATAAGATATAGTTACAATCTAGATTTATCCATGCATGACTGTGCCATGATATTTACTATGTAATTAAGTATGGTATATTTACTTTAGGGTCTGATATTTCATGTCACTTTGGAGACGGGGATTTACTACAAGAAGTTTCGAGTGCAGGTAAAGGTCAACGGGCCTATGATTATACAAGATGTGCAGGTTAAAGATGCTGACAATGATGACAATGCAGCTGTTTGCATGGTCCTAACAGAAGGTCAGTATTAAATCTAGAATGTAATTTACAAACCAGGGCCCAGTCAGAAATATATAATCAAGAATGTAAACTGTTGGTTTATTTCTTAAAAGGTTTGTGTGTTTTGTTGTCTTATATTTCACACTTTTTGCAGCTCACTTTTTGTTCCCACAAACTGCCTGACTGGGCTCTGGCTTGGAATTGTACTAATCTTTACCCCCAAAGGATATGTTTAATAGTTGAACAAAACTAGCTGATCATTTTTAGATTTGGTTTTGTCCTGAATTGAACACAAATGGGACTGAATTACTAAATAAGCTGGTGTGTTATGGCTAAGGGCGGTTATACCTCAGGTGTACCAATACAGAATGATACAGATCACCCAGCTGGAGGTCCATACCCCACACTGTTCAGGCAGCTGAAATCAAGAGCTAGTACACTGATGTACCCTGAGAGCACAAATTATAAACTGAAACAAACCCGGAGAAAAGAACATACCTACATTTGTAGGTCAGCTTACAAATGTATCCTATGTACATTGTATATGTAACAGAGACTGTCATTCTCGTATAGGACTGTGCAGCCATAACCAAAGCTATATATAGAGTGTTGTCAATTAGGATTTTACCATGGGCAGTATTGACCAAAGGAGCCCATGTACTTTAAGTAGCCTACCGTATATTGAAGAATGTGTCATTCAAATTCACTGAATCAGAGATGCCAATTAACTGAGTATTTTTCCTACAGCTGGCAACATTGCTCAACATGAAGAGAATGCAGGCAACAGTCACAGTGGCCCTGCAAAGAAAGATGTCACCAGTATACATGCACAAATTGTACATCCTCCAGAACAAACCTGGCATTCAGGTAAGGCCACACTGACATGATTATATGGATGACACAATGCATGTATCCTTTATTTATTCATCTTAGGACACATCAAGAAAAATAAGACAAAACCAAGCAAACAAGCAAATCATTCACATTCCATTTCTATTCAGGATAAAGAAATTTGGTCAGAGGTCAGGGTACAGTCTTTTGTTAGTTAGAGCTCTTTGAATATTGCTACTGATGATGATGTAGCAGCTCTAATGTGTATTGTCCTGATCCACTGATGTACTTTTGTTTGTCTAGATTAGGTTTGCCTGTCTGGCATTGTAGCTGTGGATATAACTGATGTAGTTAAATGCGTTAAGGAAGTAGCAGGGAGCTTAAGACCATACAGACACTTGTAGACCATGATGCAGATGTGCTGGGTTGTTCTGTCATGTAGGTACAATGTCATCCCAGGTACTGATGCAGTTGGTGGACATTGACATCTGTTGTCACGTTGAGGAATGATTCCTGCTGCTCTCTTTTGAAGTACAGTACTTGTAGTCGCTGTTTCATTGACACGTTGTAGTTCTCCCAAATGACATCACAATAATCAAGTAATGGTATGATCATCGCAGTATGTTTCAAACTCTAGTACACAGTCAAGGTCTGATGAAAGGTCTAATAGCATGCCCAGACGTTTGGCTGTACCTTATTGCACAATGTGTCAATATGTTCTATCTGCATAACTTAGATTAACATCAAGTGTCACACCCTGGTACCTATAGTGGTTTACTTTTTCCAAGAGTGTCATTATGTCCAATATTATTTGTCAGATCAGGTGTAGACTATTATTAGTCTTTATGGCTGTACCCATTAGCATCCATCTAGCTTTACCAATTTGCTTTAAACCATCAAATGATCTGGGGTCAGCACGTGCATAGAAAATGCCTGTATCATCAGCATACAGATTAATCTGCAGGTGCATCAACATCCATTTCCTCCCCCCCCCAAGAGTTTGCGACTTGAAGTATTGACAGATCGGAAGAAAAGAAAAAGGAGAAAGGGAAACATGACTTGATTACCACTTGCTTACTGACCACCAAAATTTGTCTCCCAAATTCAGGAAATATATTTAAAAAAAAGAAAAAATAATCTATTGCTTGGTATACCATAGGACAGTGTGTTATTTGACCTTTCTGACCACTTAGATTTCATAAAGATGGCAACTTTTTTTCTCAACTTTTTCCCATGCATGCATCAGTTTTAGGATGTTATATTATTAGAGAATGTCACTTATGTTCTCAAGTTAGTATGTGGCCTAAAGGGAAAAATGATACAGTAACAGGTAATCTTTTTGGCATCATGGCAGAAACTACTTACAGTAGTCCCTGACCCTTACAGTAGTGTCTCTGTTCTCTGTCTTCCGAGGGTTAGACGTGCTTGCACTGCAATACTGAGGCACATATTTTGGCTTAAGTTCAAGTTCAGACTGGGGCATTGATATATCCAAAGACATGCAGACTCTTTAAGTCTTTGACATTCAATCTTGATACAAATTATTAAAGAACAGATACATGTAGATTGTCGAATTCTTGCATAATAGTTTGCACTAAGTTAAAAACAAAAGGTGTTAAGCCGTTTCTGCCCTTTTTTACTTATAAGTTGAACTAATTGTGATCACTGATCATTTTACAGTGAATATTATAAATAAAAAATAGTATGATTTACATATTACTTGTACATTGTACTATTTGGTTGACACCTCATATTTTTTTTTACTATCATGTTGCCCTCACACAGGCCGTCAAAGTACAGTTCTGTTGATGATTGATGAGTATGACCCTTCCACATGTGAGACTTCCACCATCAACTACCAACTAGTATGCATGCTCATCGAAGCAGGGGTCAAGGTGTATTGCATTGTGCTAGTAAAACCTAGGAGCGAAGTCATGGAGGATGTAGAACTACTTCTCCCCAAACGTGATGTTGGGGACCATCGTAAACCATCCATAACATGGCTGACATTTGATCACCGTACCAGATACCCTAACCTCCCAGAAGGCATTACGCACATTGTTGGGCACGTAGACATCACAAGCCAGGCAGCCAATACGTTCAAAGAACAGCGCCTGCCGGCATATGTGAAGGTCATCCTCTTCTACTATGTGATACCGGAAGATGAGGACTACTATAGAGGCAATGAGGAAGCCATGGGTATTGCGTCCAAAAAGAAGTCGATTTGTAAAGATGCAGCAAAGGCTGACATCCTCTTCTCTGTTGGACCAAAAGTTCATGACTACTACGAGAACGAGCACAGGGGCATTCAGCCAACGCCACAGCACCATTTGTTCCTGCCAGAGCCACCAAGCATCTTCAGGGACACACAGGTCAAGTATGTGGAGACAAAGAGGAAGGTTGTCTTGTCCATTGGTCCAGTCAAAGGAGCTGAGATGTTGAAAGGGTTCGACTTAGCTGCTGGTGCAATGAGCATTGTCATCACGACAGACCCAGACACAATATGGCAGGTTCGAAACATCTCCGAAGATGACTTCCAGGAGAGCAAAGAGAAGATTAAGGTCCACATGAAATCAGGCTCCGTCAAATTCACTCCTCACCCGTATGGCACACAGCAGGAGCTTTGTGAAGATCTCAAGAAGGCACACTTGGTCCTGATGCCATCGCGTGCTGAGCCATTTGGAATGGTCGGCCTGCAGGCCATTGCGGCAGGCGTTCCCATTTTGACTTCTAGCAGTTCGGGACTTGCAAAGTTCGTCATGGAATATGCACCAATGTTCAGACACAGTATTGTCGAAATCACTGACAGCGAGACAGATACTATAAAGGCTACCAAAGAGTTAGCAAAGCGCATCACAAAGAGACTGACAGATAGCAAGGCTGAGTTCCAAGAGGCAGCACGCATTAGGGAAGACTTGTTGGAGTCAAAGTACTGGATGGAATCTAAGCAGCTCTTCCTGCAGGCATGTGATGCATGCGAGCCTTGAAGATACAAATCACTGTACATATCTGTAAAATGTCTTAAAATGTCTTAAAACTTCCAATTGCTATTTGATAAACATTTAGCAAGGAGGTTGCCCAGAATAAGCACCTGCTACGGCCTTTTGTTTTGCGGCGTTTAGATCCCGCTGGGGCCGGCGGCTGGTGCCAAAAATCCATACGAGCAAAAAATGACGTCACCACTGTCGGCCATCCCCAAGTCCACTCCGATCAGGGCCCGATATGCCATAGTGTTCAGACCAGACTTTTGAAAACCGGTTGAAACCGCTAAATAATTAGCGGGGGGGGGGGGGACCGGCTAAAATCCTTAGCGTTCTTGGGACCAGATGTACATGTATAGTTAAGGCTAACCTTCTATGTTGGAAAGAAATATGATACATCAATTACACGCGCTGTTCTTGTTTGACGTAGGCAATATACTGATAAGCTTAATGTTGTACACCAGTCAATATCTCTGGACCACTGGAACTCAGATCTCATAGTTGAAAATTTCAAATGTCTTGGTTCTTACATCATGTGCCCTTGGAAAGATTTTGAAATAAGGAAAGCCCTAGCATGGGAAGCAAGCAATAAATTGGATAAGATCTGGAAATCTAATATCTGTAATAAGTTGAAGATTTAAGTTTTCCTCATCCTTGTGGAACCTATATTACCGTATGGTTCAGAAACATGGACGCTCACTCGTTATCTTCAGAGCAAACTGGATGGGACTTATACAAAGCTCCTGCTCAGAACAAATCCTGGACACAACATGCCTCTATCAGCACTATTTATGGTGGTCTTCCACGGCTGTCTGAAAAGTTGGCCCACCGGCGAGTTAAGTTTGCTGGGCATTGTTGTTGAGCCAAACAAGAAGTTGTATCATCCGTCCTGTGGAAACCTAGGGGCAGAGTGCATTCCAGAACTTTGACCTTTACTGACTCTTTAGTCAGAGACACTGGTATTGATTTTGACTATTTAGAAAAAGAATGTTACATGTAGATAGAGACCTCTGAATGGAAATGTGCTCTGGTCTGGTTCCGGCTGTACAGGCCGGCAATAGATAGGTAGGCACCAGTCAAATGTGTTGAGAAATCAAAATGTAACATTAGAGCAACCCAATATCCCTTACGAGATGACCGATTTAAATATCATTCAGTAACTGTAAGGTATTCCTTCGTGTTCCCAGAAGTTCTGTTAATACTGCTGTAATGGGTGTATAGACACGAATTAAGTATTGCTTAAGATTACACAGCATGTCTGTTGATAGAAGTGTTAATATAGTAAATATTGGTGAAGATTACACGTCTTGTAAGCATGTCTTATAATTGATAGAAGTGTTAAGAGAGTAAGTATTGCTTAAGATTACACAGCATGTCTATTGATTGGTTTATGATAGAATTCTTAAGAAAGCATATGACGCTGTTGTTGTACAATAACATGACTGGATTATTCATTGTACAAGACATATTATGCATGTATGGTTTCCAAAATATTTGACTAAACCCTAATGTCAACACCGGCCACACATTACGGAAATATAGTCTCCACCAGACTTCTTTTGCGGGGTGAATAAATCATAGAAATCGGCCTAAAAAGGGTATTAATTGGCCAGAGAAGGTAGCCGGCCAGAGAAGCTCCGGGGCCCT